ACCCAGAAATCAATCCATGCCACTATAGCTATCTTATTTTTGACAAAGGAGCCCAAAATATACATTGGAATAAGATAGCCCCTTCAACAAATGATCCATGTCAATATAAATTGGAAGTTGATCAAACACCTTAATACCCCAAATTTTAAAACAATATATGAAAGAATAGAGAAAATACTAGAACATACTGACATAGGGCCCTGGAGAGAACTTGAATAGCTCATAAAATAAGAGCAAGAATTGACAATATGGAACTGCACTAAAAACCAACAAAGGAAATAGTCACTAGACTGAAGACATAACCCACAGAAAAGGAGGAAATATTTGTCATATATATTTATATGATTATTAACAAGGAATTATTATTATATACAGGGAGCTCACAAAACTAAACTTGCAAAGAATTAACCTAATTAATAAATGGGTAAGTGAACTGAACAATTTTTGAAAGAATTACAAAATGACAAATGCATGAAGAAATACTTAAGATCCTTGGCTATAAAGGAAATACAAATCAAAGAAACACCAAGATTTCATCTCACTCCAGTCACATTGGCTCACAATAAGAACACAATTAACAAAAAATACTGTTGTGGATAAAGTGGGGAGAGAAACCTTTATTTACTGTTGGTAGGAGTGTAAACTGGTGTAAACACTATGGGAATTTGTAAGGAAAGTCCTCAAAATGAAAATAGAATCAAAATATGATCCACTGAGACCTCTCTTGGACAGGTAAGTCTAGATGCAATAGAGGCATTTGCAGACACAGGTTTTTTTGCAGCACTATTCACAATTGCGAAGCTATAGAAAGTGCCCAAGTTCCCTACAGCTGATGAATGGGTCATGAAAATGGAGCAATGAAGTTTGTAGAGAGTGAATTTGGAAGAAAGGGAGAAGATAGGGACAAGTGACAGAGAGGAGGAATCTGATCGAGGTTTGTTATTGAATATAATGGACATGTCAAAATGAAATCCCTATGTACAACTAACTGATGCTAATAAGAAATACAAAGAAAACCCCTACCCTTCATTATTTTTTTAGTTCAGGTTTGGGAATGAATTTCTCCCTTAAACATTATCTAAAATCCTTTCCACTGAAATTCATCCTCTACGTCGCCTAAGTCGCACAATTTAATTTTGGCAGCTGCTAATAATAGATTGAGTATTTAACATACTAAAGCAACACTGATATTATTTTGACTTTTCATTCCTGCCTTCTCTCTTCACCTCTAGTTTCTTAACTTCCTGACATTAAATTTATATAACCCCTTTGTAGACATAATAAAACTGTACTACTTGCAAGGTAGTGATACCTCCTGCTAATGCTCCAATTAAATTACTAATCCTATGAACTGATTGATAGTAAAGAATTTGCTAGCTCCTAATTATTATCTTAGCTTTTCTGTTTTATACTACAATGTAAATTTCCATACTGCGCTTAACAAATGGCAGAGAGCCTTGGGATTCCTTACAAGATATCTTGGAAAGATATCTGGAAAGAGTTCAAAGACAAGTCCATACACACAAACATCTGAAAAAAGAGAAACAAGAAAACTATTTCTAGATATAATTGTTTTAAAAATGCAGAGACACCCGGGTGCTGGTGGCTCACGCTTGTAATCCTTGTTTCTTAGGAGGCTGAGATCTGAGCATGGCTGGTGGTTCAAAGCCAGCCCTGGCAGGAAAAGTCCATGACACTTTTACCTCCAATAAACCACAAAAAACCAGAAAACCGGAAGTAGCATTGTAGCTCAAGTGGTAGAGCGCTAGCCTTGAGCTGAAGAGCTGAGGGACAGTGCCCCAGCCCAGATTCAAGCCCCACAACCGACTAAGTAAGTAAGTAAGTAAGTAAGTAAGTAAATAAATAAATAAATAAATAAATAAAATGCAATGACAGTTGGGTGCTGGTGGCTCACATCTGTAAGCCTCGCTACTCAGATGTCTGAGATTTGAGAATTATGGTTTGAAGTCATCGTGAGGAAGAAAACTCCATGAGACTCTTATTTCCAATTAATCACATAAAGCTCAAAGAGGAGCTGTGGCTCAAGTGGTAGAGCTCTAGCCTTGAGCAAAAGAGTTCTGAGATAGAGCCCAGACCCAGAAGTTAAGCCCCATTATTGGCATGCATTTGTGTGTGCACACACACGCAGACACAGACAGACACACACACACACACACACACACTGAGGGAAGAAAATTAAATCTACCTTGTTAAAGAAAAATTGTAGGCAAATCCTTCTTTTATATTGAAAAAGATTATTCTCTTAATCATGTAAACAAAAAAGCCCTATATAGTATGACACTTAAAATCTCTCCTTTTAAAAGAACTTAAATATAAGTAAAACGTTGTTAATTCTAAATTGAGTTCTGAAAATAATACTAAAAATTCTAGTCTTTTAAAATCATTTCTGGATACATTTGAAAAATTACATGTTAAAGATAAAAGGCCAAACTTCCTCATTCACAAATTTCTCTCAACTCTAGAGTGTCTGATAAGAACTTCCTCTTTTAAAACCAGGAAACTTTGCAAGTATAAAATAATATGCAAGGGAGGAGAAGAAGGAAGTAACTGACCAAAGTGAAAAAGAGGAACAGTTCTAAAACAAACCAAATTTGAAGCATCACCAAACGAGCAAGTAAGATTGACACAACCTGAAGGTAAGAATAACATTTTCAGTGTTTGGTAATGAAAATTAATAGGAAACAAATTTATCATTAGCTATTTGATGCCCTATTTCTTATCAAATTATTCTTAGAAAACCTGCCTTAGTTGAGGTAAGGGGAAAGCAATTTACAAGCTGTGGTGTTGATAAAGTGTCTCTAAATGAATTTAAAGCTCCCCAAATCCATGGTTGAGCAAAAAAGCAGAATCTGCCTTCAAATTCCAGTTTTTCATCAATCTGTGATCTATATCAAATGAATAAATGTTCATTAATCTGCTGGAACTGCTTTCTGAAATAAAAAGCTTTCCTCCAAGCTGGACAAAGGGGAACACATTTAGATATGATGCCATACTGGAAGGCTCTAGTTTAAAATACGTATTTCATTATCAGTCTAAATTTATGTTTCACAGGAAAGGGAAAAGGAAAGTGCTCTTCTGCTATAAAAATGACTTTGTCTTCATGTCAGTGAACAATGAGAAATTTTCATGTTAGGAATGTACTTGAATGTCTATTCTTCATAAAGCAATATATTCTTCATAAAGCAATATAGATGGAAAGGGCAATCTGTGGCTGTACTCAGCTGCCTGAACCCCATCCCAACTTCCATCACAAGTCTTGCTTCTTTCTATAAATTTACTAACACTAATCAATATTTGAAATTTACTTTATGAATTTATTTCAAATATTCTGGCAAACAGTTACTTAAGTAATCATTTATGCTGGGTGTGGTGGCTCACATCTATAATCCTCGCTACTCAGGAGACTGCTATCTCAGGATCGTGGTGGAATCCAGCCCAGGCAGGAAAGTTCATGAGACTCTTATCTCCAATTAATTCATAAAAAGCCAGAAGTGGAGCTATAGATCAAGTGGTAGAGCATTATCCTTGAGCAAAAAACCTCAGGGACAACATTCAGGCCCTTAGTTCAAGCCCCAGGACTGGCGCACAGAAATATACACACACAAGTGTGATCATTTGTGCTACAAAAACATCTTAAGATCAGTTCTTATCTTTATTGTAAAGGAAATAGAATCATACTGTGAAAATCATTTGACCACAAATTTTTGTCTTTGAAAGAAGCATTCTATTGGCCCTGATGAAGGATTCTCTACTGTACTTCCCAAAGTCCCCAAAAGATGAAAACTTATCTAGATCTACAGTGTCTATCCCTATATTTTTATCAAAGTTTTATAAAGAAACTGTGTGTCATAAGCCATTTTGGTATATGAAATATCACACTGAGAACTTGCACATTGAGCCTTAGGCAAATTTATAAATATTCACCATTGTTTTTGAGTAATAAATGAGAACAGGGGCACTATTTTGTGTGTCTTCCTTTTGTTATTTGTCTTTAATAAATTACTTTTCTCATGCCTAATGCTAGTGCTTGCAATACAAAGATAAATAATACATGGTTCACAGCCCTCAAAACCGCAGAGCTAACCAATTTGGTACCCATTTACAGGAATTTTTAAAGAGTAACATTTGGGAAACAATTTTACTTGATTGTGACTCAGTCACTTCTTAGAAAAAGTTACTTCACATCTATAATCTCCTCTATTATCATCTGTATAATGGTGATAAAAAATAGCAGCTACTTTTTATGGCATCTGAGGTTGAAAATGAGATAATCTACAAAAGAGTATTTAGAACTTGACTGGACATAAGCTCTTAATTAAATATGGTTGATAAAGACATTCAATGGATAAAGACCAATATCTCACAAGCACTGTTAACAATGTTGGGTGTAACTCTTTCAATGTCTCAGCTGAAAATACCTATCCCTTGAAGCATTAACATAAAACCCTATAACATTACCTTAACTGAGTAAAAGGTATTTTCTGGAGGGTATAAGAAGCTAGGAAATTGGAAGATTTATAAAACTATTTTGATCTCTTTCAAAAATCTCTTCATGCTTTAAAAGTAAACTATAAGCCCTTTAGAAGACACATTTTGACTTTTAAACTATCAGCTTAAATGATCAGATTCTGAATATTTGAGTGAATTTTAAATTTCATCATTTAATAAATATTGATTGAATAATTTTTTATATTCTTTGGTCTTTATGTCTAGGACTATAAAGATGAACTGATAACTGCTTATCATGTAGGAAGGCACAGGACACAGAATTCCATCATTTATTTAGATTATCAGGCTATAATAGAGAATACATTCATTTGGGATTACAGAGGGAAGAGTGATTAGGGCCAAAACTATAATCCTGCCCAATTCAAAGAAGAATGAGTAGATCTTACAGAGGAGTTATTGCACAATAGAAATAATTGTATATGTATTATCTTACCTTATTTGTCTTATTGCAGGCAAAAATATTTCTTTTGTTGTGGTACTGAGTTTGGAACTCAGGACTTCATACTTGCTAGGCAGATGTTCTACCATTGAGCCATATTTCCAGCCTTTCCTTGCACTGATTAGTTTTGAGGTAAGAGTCTAAGAGTCTCACTTCTTACCAAGGCAAGTGCTCAGTCTAGGATCCACCTTTTTACACTTCCTGCTGAGGCTTAGATGATAGGCTCATGCCACTGTGTCAGCTATTGGAGTCTCAGGCTATTTTCTGAACTACAATCTTCTCTATTCTAGCCTCCCAAGTAGCTAGGATTACAGGTATAAACCACTAGTGTTGGCAGAAAATTGTCATCTTTACTATAAAAATCACATTGAAGTGTAAGTGATAAACAACCAGACTTGGGCGAACATGAGTTCTTCCATCTTTGTTCTCTCCCCACAATATCCCACATTGTAAATGACATTATAATAAGGAATGTATTCCATGCTGGTATTTAATGCATAGTTAGATCAGGTTTTTAATTATATTATCTACTAAACATGCAATAAATATATTTTTGATTTATAGAAGATTTCTGGATGACAGATCATTCAACATTCCTTTTCTTGAGTCTTCTACTCTGCTGTTACCTTCTGCTCATTTCTGTTTCATTTTGGGATTCACTAATAAGGAAGGACTTGAAGTGGACTAGAACCCTCTTGATACAGTGCAACTGTGACTTAGCATCTGTACGGTGCACAGCATCATTGACAAAGAAAGCCATCTTTCAAATCTGTTTACTCAACCTCAGCTATATTTGCATAAGAACTTTGCCAAATGATGTTCTTCCAAATATGAAAAAGAGATAGGTAAAGAGTAGCTTCCAACTCATTCTTTAACAACACTGAAGTACAAGGAATTGCATCAGTGTGTGCCTGTGCATTGATTAGTCACACCACCAAATTTCTGAACAACATTGTTAACGCAGAAATGTTAAAAGGCTATGGAAATACTTCAGTGGCCATTCTTCTAGGCATTTCCCTTGTTGTGTTTTTGGTGTTCTGTGGAATTGGTTGTGTTTGGCACTGGAAACACCATAAGGCTACACGATTTACCTTACCGAAGTTTTTACAAAGAAGATCTAGCAGAAGAAAAGCCTATATGAAAAATCTCTACTTGGGTACCCACATTATTGGCTTAAGGTCAAAAACCTCAGTTGAAACCCAAGACCACAAATCTACTGTCAAGGAAACCAAAATGCATAGCAACTATGAAAATATGGAAGCAGGTCTTCCCAAAGCTAAAGAAGAAACTGAGAAGGGACTTTATGAAAACACATGCCCATCCAATGTCACAGAGCCTATCTACAAAAATGAGATGTCTCCCTATTATAATTTCAAGAAGCTTCAGACTTCTCAAGTGCCTCCAGATGAAGACATATACATTCTTCCAGATTCATACTAGCTTCTCCAAATACTGAGATTCGTTCAGGAAAAATATTCTCTGGGACTTTTACTGTACTAATGTCATTATTGGCCAAGTTCCTCTAGTGAGTTCAATGGTCTCACCTCTCTTCACTCCTTGGAATGCTCTCTGAGCAGAATTGTAGGTGAATTCTCTGTTTGGGCTTTAATCTATACTATGTATGTTCATTCTTCCTTCTAATAATGCCTGTTGTGTGTGTCTGTTATTTCTACTTCAACCAGCTTTTTCCGGTTCAGAATTGTTACATTATCTTAGCAGGTCTTATTTAATCAATTGTTCATGAAGCCACCAGATTTTTCTTCAAAAATTATTCCCAATAGCTCCATCACTCCTTTGTGGAAAACTTTAAAAACATTCTTTTGACATAATTCTTACAATTCTATTCAGAATTCATGGTGTGTGTGTTGGGGGTTTACGCGTACTGGAGCTTGAATTCACGGTCTCTCATTCTTACTTAACTGTTTTGATTCAACGCTGGTATTCTACCACTTGAGTCACCCTTCCACTAATTCATGGCTTTTTATGTTTGGTTCTAACTTCCTTACCAGAGACTTCTAATCCCTCACCTCTCAGCTTTCACTAGTATCTTAGGACATGTTCAACTTATCTCCTTTATGGCTCTGCTATCTCTCAAGTCTGTCTCAAATGATAACAAGTCTTCTGAATCATTGTAAATTTGCGTTTACCATTTTATTTCTGATGTCCTATAAGTCCTTCTGCTTATCTAATTGCTCTGCTATTTTAAACATTGTTTAAAACATTGTTTTGAATTTTATTACTTAATGTTAGGCAATCAATAATATCATAAAATTTCAACTTAATATAAAGAGAATGCAATCTATTCATACTTTTAGCCATAAAGACATTATGTGAGGTTGTAAATATATTTTAATTGACAAGAATTACACTTTGTTAAGTACTTTTAGGGAAAATGTAATAAATTTTGTCCATTGTTAATCTAACTAAAGAATATGTTTATTGACTCTCTACTATCAATTTATTATTGTGTTAGGCACATGGGGGCTAGAGAGGATCGCTATAACAGTAAATAAAATAGGGATAGGAGTCAAGTAAGAAAGAAAAGACAATACATAACTATTTAAATGAATACCAAGCTCATTATGAAACTGAGATTCATCTCTAAACACAAGCTTCCATCCACTGCATTGGATTTCTTAACCTGGTACTCTGCAAATTACCTTTATCCATATAGTAAGCTATGGTGATACAGACATGGATAAAAAAGACTGGATTCAAGCTGGGTGCTGGTGACTCATGCTGAGATCTAATGATTGTGGTCTAAAGCCAGCCTAGGCAGAAAGTCCATGAGACTTTTATCTCCAGTTAACCACCAAAGTTATGGCTCAAAGTGGTAGAGTAGAGCCTTGAGTAGAAAAGCTCAGGAACAGAGCCCAGGGCCTGAATTCAAGCCCCACATCCCCACCCCCAAATAAGAGAGAGAGAGAGAAAAGACTGGATTTATGATTGTGTGCCCCTGTGATCCTAGATAGGTAGGAGGCATGGCTAGGTGAAAAGGGATGGGAACGTGGCTTAAGTGGCAAAGCACCTGCCTACCAAACTCTTCCCAGAGTTCAAATCCCAGGAATGCACACAAGAGAGAAAGAGAAGGGGGGGAGATTAGATTAGAAAGCAATATGGAGCAACAGAAACTTGTTCCTTGTTTATGCCTACCAAGAAAAAAATCACGTAATTAACTCCTGAATTGCCAATCCTTTTCAGCTTCTGGTTTCCCAGAACCAGTCTTATTGTCTATTCTGACAGAGATGGTGGCACCTCCCTTAGAATCAGAACACGCTTCCAGGATTTCCTCAAAGCTCCCAAGGTCTCATCAGAAGACAAGTGACATCTCACAGCTCTAGAATCCAGCCTTATAGGACATTGCAATTCTGGTAATTTTCATCCCTAAGGATTAGCATGGGCCCACTGGACTGAGCAGAAACCTGAAAAACAAAAAGAAGACCAACACCACTTGCATATGACATATAAATGGGGAAAGGTAGAAAGAAGGCAATATCTGCAAACAAATGTGATATAATGTAGGCCTTCTGTGATAGGTTAAGAAGTTTGGATTTTATCCTAGTCAATCTGATGCCTATGGTAATAGAACATAATCTTTGAGGCAGAAAAACATCATTTGGGAAACAAAGAATTTCCACATTGCAGTAGAATAGTAGAAGAGAAGATTCTGACTCTGAAGATATTGTACTTGATTTCAAAAAGGATATATCTATGAGTTATAAGATAAGCAGCACCCACCAGAATTTTTTTTATTGTGAAAATACCGTACAGAGGGGTTACAATTACGTGAGCAAGTTAATGAGTACATTTGTTATCAAGCATTGTTGCCTCCTCCTTTTTTCCCCTTACCATCCCTGCCCGACCTTCCTCCCCCACCCCTGCCAAAGGCCAAAGTTGTAAAGTTCGCTTTTTGACATAACTTCTTGTACATCTCATTGTTGCAATGGGTCCACCTGTATCCCTATTTAAACAATTTGTTTTTTTCCCTTCCCTTCCCCAAATTATACCAACATCAAATATAGTGAAAACAGGTTTGTATGTCCCTCCCCCAGGGTATAACCCCTGTTTTCACCAGCATTTTTATTAAGACCTCCACAGCTTTCTATCTATATTCAGCTCTTGAGTTTTATACTCCAACTTTCTCCCTATAGAGAGAAGAATTAAGTAAAAGAGATAGGCTCATACAAAAATGCAGTAGATAGTAAATTGTCAAGTGCAATCAAGTCTGATGAAGGTGAGGCTGCAACTATTGACCTATGCTGTTGTCATGGAAACTAGAGCTTCAGTCCTAGAGTGGATTCTCTTATATAGGACCCATTGGCTTTAGTGAATAGTTAAGACTGAAAATTATGGAAGTTGCCACATCTATTCTAAATTCTTGTTAGTGACAGAGACAATGTTTACATGGGCCTCAGGTGAACTCTCCTGAAGGCCAGGGGCCTGTCAAAGGCATAAGATTGAAGCCCAGCAAAGGGTAAAAAGTTTAGCAGTTGTCTCAGGCAAATTCTCCAGCTCCACTGTATGTTTGACATATCACTTGTCAATGACAGCTAGAATTGAAACAAATTAAATGAGTTTCACCTATGAACATGATTTTTAATATACTGCAATGGTAACTAACAAAAACAAAACATATTTTTGGCTCTCCTCATGGAGCATTCCCCAAAACTTCAGACCACTTTAAGTAGCTGGCACTGGTACCAAGCAATATACACTTTATAAGATTCGTGGTTCTTAGTTCACTCACAAGCCTGTTTCTTAGATCTGTTATATTTTCCCATTTACAGGTGAGATGACAGAAATTTAGAGAAGTTAAAATTTTAGAGAAAAAAAAACCTGGAGGGAGTGTTTGAAACGAGTTTTCCTGATGAGAGTGATTTACTCAGGATAGGATATTTTTAGAGCATTATTAGCAAATAAGAAGCACTCAGCAACATGAAACTTCAATTGTAGAAAATAAGTTGGATATCATTGAGACAGACCCTTTCACTTTGAATATGAGAATACAGAGCTGCAGGATGCAAATGTGCCTTTACTGAGGTTTCACAGAGAATTAGCAATTAATTGGGACTAGAATCTAGAGCTCCTAGCTCCCAGGTAATTTTCAACATATTCTTGCTCTATTTCTATTGTCTGTATAAAGGCCAATACTTTTGGATTTTGTTTGCTTGTGTTTTGTTTTCAACCCTAGTTTTCTTTATTTTAAATAAGTTTTTATTATGAAAATACTGTACAGACGGGTTACAGTTACATGAGCAAGGTAATGAGTACATTTCTTATCCAGCATCGTTGCCTCCTCCTTTGTTTTCATCCTACCATCCTTTCTCTCCAATCTCCACAACTACATTCTCCCCCACCCCCGCCCCCTGCCTAAATTGTACAGTTTGTTTTTGACATAGCGTCTTGTACATCTCATTGTTGCAATGGGTCAACCTGTATCCCTATTTAAATAATTTGTTTTTTCCCTTCTGCTCCCTAAATTATACCAACATCAAATACAGTGAAAACAGGGGTTATACTGTGGGGGAGGGACATACAAAGCAACAAAAAATCACATGGTACCTTATAAATACGTTAGAAACAATAGCAAGAAAGAAAAAAAACACTTGTGTCCTTATCTTGGGGTTCATTTCGCTTAATATCACCTTATTTGACCTTTTCTGCTTGTCTCAGATATAGTTTTCTTTATAACATCATTTGAGTCTCCTTTCTTAGGTCTTTTAGTTTTCTAGTTTAGCTGAACATTCTATTTTCTGCATGTACAAATGAAGCTGATTTTTCCAAATGTTAAGTATAGATAGTCCTAAGAGAGCTGAGTTACAGATTTCTTAATGCATGTGGATCTTGGGTGGCTGGAGTTCAGTAATGAAGACAATCAATCATGAGTGGAGTGTTATACAGTATGTCCTTTTCTGGCCATTGTTTCTTAAAGCATACTCTTTTGTCATCTTGTCTCATCTGGCAGAATTTGTCTACACTATCTATACTTTCAACTCAATTATCTGATCAGAGAACAACATAACCAACAGTATAGGAGTTATTCGAAGTGAGGGGAGATGGAGCGAGAGGATATATGTCTTTAATAATAGCACTACAATAAGAAAGTTGAAGACTTACTTGAATGAGCACTCATTGACAAAGTAATTATCCTCTCTGGGAAGGAACAGGAATGGCCTGGAAGCCATCTTTGTTTTTTGTTTGTTTTTATATATTTTCCCCATATCCAGGCAAGATATATACAACTCTATTTAAAATCAAAAGACATATAGTTTAAAAAACTACTAGGACTAAGGAAGTGCATAGGGTGAAAAAAAAATCTTAGAAAGAAGAGGAATGAAGAGAAGCACAAATGAAGTAGGTCTCAATAGAAAAGGTGTAATCAAAAGACAGAAAGTCCTGTGAAAGATGTACAAGGGCTAGGCACCGGACACAGATGTGCATTAGGCCTGCTGTCAGGTAGGGCTGACGAGTCTTGTACATTCAGCAAGCATTACAGCTGTTCTAGTGATAATGAAACAAACCTGCACCTGAGCTCTGTGCCAACAATTGCTTGTTTCTTATGTTTCTCATGCTTTTGAAAGTATGAAGAATGGGCAAAATGAATTTAATTTTATCTCTTACTAAGATATATTATCCTAAGTATATTCAAGAATATGTATGTCCAAAAGATAAGTAATACAAGAACACAGAGGGGAAGTGAAATTTAGTTTGCTTAAAATTGATTTCCATTTCCTCTTTTAATTAGCTACTTTACTTACCATAGAAAAATCATCTTCTTCCATGCATGTTGAAAAATATAGCTACAAAGTTTAATTTAGGATGAATCTTCTTAGTAACACTTGCTGGGGAGAACTATAAAATGAATCAAAACCACATACCTTCAGTGTGAACTCCAAGATCTTACTCTTTTTTTTCTTTGCTATTTTTAAAATTACTTAACAAATCACCTTTATTAGAAAAAAATTGGAGAGCTGATAAGGGTTCTAGAGACCCTCACATATTACATGTCTTTTCTTCTTTCCCTTCCCCTAGATCCTTTCCTCTCCTCACTGCACCCTTCCCCTTTTTCTAGTACTGGAAAGAGAACCCAGAGCCTCATACTTGTTGGGCAAGTGCTCTGTCATTTGAGCAAGGCCCCTACTCCATTAAAAAATGTGTTTGTGAGGTAACATGCCCCTAATTTTACCAGGGCTGGCCCTGAACTTTTGAGATCTTACATCTGTTTCCTTTTTAAAATCCAGATCAAATACTATGCCATTTACGAAGCTATCTTCAATACAAGCAGTCTGAATGTATTTTACCCACTTGTGGATTTCTTTCCTTTGTCTTTCAGGCCATCCATGTGTCTAACTGTCCACTCAATCACTGTTAATATTCATTAATAGCTATTAGCTGCTGGAAGTTGTGACAGATTGAGGAACCC